GGCGTTCGTCCAGAAGGTTAGTTGAATATGATGGTGGATATATCCAGTCAAAATCTTTGAAAGGAGAAAGACAAGGTCTTTCTTTATTGGGCCCCCTTTACAAGTGCACCCCAAGTGTAAATGAGGTGTGCTGTGCGTATCGGCCCTAGACACTCAGTTTTAGGCGCAGTTTGGGTTATGGTATCCAGCCAGTTTTCCTAAACTTGTAATTCAGTCCGATTGATACCCGGCTATGGCTAACAATATTGTAATGGTAGTGCGTAATGGCGTGTCAACGTGCGTCATCGTGGAGCCTAAACACAACCTTGCGTTTTCGCTTCTGTCGAGAAGCGGGTTTGTCCAAATATATATTCACCCTATAAAGGATGAAGTCTTCGCCGTTGATCAATCCCTTTGTGGGATGCGGCACGCATTCTACTTCCATTCAGAATCGTAGTGGCTTATTGAATGCGATGTGGCCTATACAATGACTTGCGGGTCAGTGTTTTATCCTCCCAGACGAATCTGGTACCAATTTACCGTCCCCGGAGGGTAGAAGGCTTGGTTGGCCTGGGCGGGAGTCGACCCGGGATTCGAACCCGGGACCGCGCGAGTGGTAAGCGCGTCTTCTGTCACTACACCATCTCCGCCTATGTTCACTCTATAGATCGTTAAAGAGCAAAAAACGCAGATAATAGCTGATCTAAGAATAATGGTGCTTTGTGCAAGGAAGTAAAGTTAACAACTCACTCCATTGTCTCCCCTAACAAATATCATGCCGTAGGTTTGCACCTCATCGTCATCGTTCAAACGAATCCAGATAGAAAGACGGATAACGAGTGCCGTTTGGTCCAATCTCCACCATTTCCGAAATACCTAAATTTGGACGCGATATGCGAAGAAGATTGGAGATCCCAGAAATACACTAACTTTCAAAGTACATCGCAGCATTGTTCATGATCTGGCTTCCATTTTTCATCGCAGCCATCTGAGGATTCTGGGCCAACGTACGATTCAGGGCAACTGCGTATATATAAAACGCATCGTAGAGATGTGCAGCATACTGTGAAGCCTTGAAAGAAGTAGTGAGTTTCTGAAGAAATCGCTAAGCAACACACAATGATTAAAGACACATGGTACGATCACACATAGTTTGGGTGTGCGTGACTATCAGCCCCCAGCTGTCGAAGCGTAGCGGTTTCCCCGTCCTAACATGCGCAGGAATGGAGATACAGGACCGTGAAACACGCTAATTCCTCCATGCTCCGCCCAATGCCTTTTGCGGCGCAGACTCCCGTTCATGCTAACAGCCGTCCGCGCGGCGCGTGTCGCGCGCAGCGCTCTTGGCACTTTGCCAAGTCCTGTGATTGCGCATTCGAACACAGGTAAAACGCAATTTCCTGATGCGGATA